AGGAAGGATAAGGAAGAAAGGAAGGCAGGAAAAGGAAGGCAGGAAGGAAGGAAAAGGAAGGAAGGAAGGAAGGCAGGAAGGAAGGATAAGGAAGAAAGGAAGGCAGGAAAAGGAAGGCAGGAAGGAAGGAAAAGGAAGGAAGGAAGGAAGGAAAAAAGGAAGGAAAAGGAAGAAAGGAAGGCAGGAAAAGAAAGGAAGGAAGAAAGGAAGGCAGGAAAAGGAAGGAAGGAAGGAAAAGGAAGGCAGGAAAAGGAAGGAAGGAAGGAAAAGGAAGGCAGGAAAAGGAAGGAAGGAAGGAAAAGGAAGGAAGGAAGGAAGGAAGGAAGGAAGGGAGGGAGGGAGGATTGTGCTGAAACCTGCAGCCGAGTTGCCTCACCTGGAGACAGGTTGATCCTCTTGGTGGGGGGAGAAGCCTGCCGGTCCTTGTCGGAGGGCTCGTACCTCTTCCGGCTGCTGTTTTTGTCAGCTGCCTGAAAGCAGGAGAGGAGGGATCAGGGCCCCGAGGAGGCGGTAGGGAAAGGGATGGGGACGAAGCCCTTGCTTGCTCTGGAGGCGCCCACCCCCCCTTGCCCACTGCGGCCTCCCCGAGAGAGACCCACTACGCTTAACTCCAACTTTGGGCAGTGAAGGGAGCAGATGCCACTCAACACAGGAGGCTGCCTTTGATGTACAAGTCCGTCATATCAGGAGGACCCCCCCCCCCAATGGAAGGAGCAAACTCTGAGGGCCCGAGTGGGTCAGAGACCCCTCCGCCCTCTTCCTGCCTTGCCCACCTCTGGGCAGAGGCTGAGCCCTTAGAGACCCCCAAGGGGTTCCCGGACGGACCTCGGCCGGGTCCCGGTTTCCCTTCAGAGGATTTTCCACAGATGCCCTCCCTCCCTCCCCCAACTGGAGGAGGAGGAGGGGAGAATCTGGGCCCTTACCTTGTTTAAAAGGGTGAGCTTGATTTCCTTGTGGGCACTGAAGCCAGCAGGCTGGGCCTGGGGGGGCGGGTGAGGGGCGGGAGGCTGCTGAGACTTCCCCCCTGAGGCTGGCTTGGCGGATTTGGCCGGCTGCGCTGGGACGTCCCGCTTCCGCTTCTCCTCCTTGGGGCCGCTCTCCTTCTTGGCTTTTCCTGCGAGGAAGGCAGGTGTAGGTTCAGGGCCAGGCGGCACCCCTGGAGAGGCTCCGGTGCATCCTCTGCATCCCTGGCTCGCCCAGAGGGAGCCTTCTAGCCTACCCCACAGGCGGGGGCTTCGGCCGCAGGGCCCCGTGGGGCAGTTTCCTTTCCTATAAAAGTTATCCTAACATTTTTAACTAGGGGGTGGATGGAATTGCTGGCCTTTCCTTGTGTTTGAATTGGGGGAACTGATCTGCACCTAGGAGATCTCTTGGGAACTTCCTCCCCCAAAAGGCTTTAGACAGCCTCCCCCCCCCCATTTTTTTTGTTTTTAGAGCTTCGTTATTTTTCAATTAGAAAAATAAACGCCCCATCTTTCCTTCTGCTGCGGGTCGTCTGGGTACAAACATCTCTCTGCCACACCGTTCCTCTTTTGCCACGTCTTTCAGGCTCATATTAACATTATTTCCCTAAGTTTAGTGTTATAATATATCGAGCACTGAAACGTTATAAAACGCTCAATTTTTCTCCTTAATATCTTCTAGTAATAATATCCATTAACATCGAACATCACTATTCTCATCATACACAGACTAACAACAGTTTCCCTCTTATTTACATCTCTTATCTAAGTGATTCGAAGTTCTGATGGCCAACACACACACACAAACACACACACACAA